TGCATCTCAGGGAGAGAGGAAAAGAAAAACAAACTTCAAAGTTAATTCCTTTCTGTTGGGTTTCCCAGTTTAACAGAGACTTGAGAAGTAAGTACACACCATTAATTTCTATACCACCAGCATTCTTCACTTCAGATGGCAATTAGTGATAATATTTCGGTCTCAAGTTGTGATGAGATTTTTATGCTAATCATCACATAGCTGTAAATTAATCATCTGGGCACAGCTAGAGACGATGTATATTTCATGATACAGATATAGATATCAAGACGTGCATGATATTTGCAGTAAACGGGAAGCATCTCAAATTATCATGAAAGGAGCAGCCAAAGCAAATAGGGCTGTATAGTAACACAATGCATATAGCGGAGACACAGGAGAAGTCTCACATCATTGGTGTCATTAAGGAAGTTATTGTGAGGCAGTTTGCACACTGAGGAACTTCAAATCGTTCACAGATGCACTAGAACACTCAAAATCCATATTAGTTTTCATTTAATTTAAATATTTTGACAATTTCATGCACAAGTACTGTATTTACATAATCTCTCTTCCTTCTTTCCCCTCTAACTTCTCCGATGCTCTCCCTACTTCCTTAAAATTCACGAGCTCTTCTTCAGCTGCAGTTATCACACACATAGACAGAAAACAACCTACTGAGTTTGTTTAGTGTTGCTTGTGTGTATATATATATATATATATATATATATGTTTAAGGCTGACCATTAGAGGTTAGATAAGCTACCAGGAGGGTCATTCCTGGAGAAGACTGGCTTCCTCAATTTAGGCAGCCATTGGTTGAGGGCAGCTTTTCATCTAGGGGTGGGGTCTTGTGAGATTTCTCCCTTCTCCGTTGGCATGCCAACGGGTATCATTATACAGGTCTTGTTTAGCCAACTATATAGGTGAGATTTCATGAATGCAGCTTTCTTGTCAAGTACAGAAGACACTATCTCACAGCAAAAATCTATCTTAACAAGGTCAAGGGCAAGATCAACAATCAGCCTGCTTTTCCTTGAATCCTATTTTGTTGTTGTTAGAGCACTCATCCTTTTCCTATATATTTTTTAATTGGATTTCTTTTCTCAGGTTTGCACTTAAATCTACCCATGCAAATGAGTCAGAAAGGCAGCTCGATGTTAAAGTCACATTGGGAAGCAGCCGAGTGTGTAGGAACAGGCAACACCACTCAAATGATGGGCCCTCTGTGAGCACATGAATAGCTCTTTCTGTACCAATTTATGGAAAATAAGAGAATTTCACTTTAAACTTCCTATTACTGTAGCTACTCAATAATACATATGAGGCTTCAAGGCTGTCTCATTGAAAGATCTTAGCAGGTAGGGTGTGTAGCTATACCGTCCTGAGGAAAAAAATACGAAGGTCCCTTTCTTTCTTCCCAGCTGCCATTTTCTTTTCACACCTCTGCTATTAATACTGATACTGACATAGATATTTTCCAGGATATCACCCGATCTGGACTCATTCACACTGTCCATACAGTACGACTCTTCTAGACTCCTCTAGTTAAGCAGAGACTGAGTAAGGGGAAGAGCAGTGAGAAGTGGAAACGATACTAAAAGTGAAGGAAGAAGCTTACTCATGAGAAAGAAGGCTCCAGGAGGAACAGGGAAAAGAAGGGAGCTAGGCAAATAAACATAGCAAGCCCAAGAGGCTGCTTGCAACCTTGTCTGCATCTCTCTCTGGGAGCCCGTCAGGCTTTTGTTCCAGAGGACTGCAGGGGCTTTGCTGCAAGGGTTCTTTGCTGCATGGGCTTTGCTGAAGGGTCTCTACTTCAGGGATTCTTTGCTCCAGGGCCTTGCGTGGACTTTGGTGCAGGGTTCTTTGCTGCATGGGCTTTGTTGCAGGTGCTCTTTGCTGCAGGGGACTTCATGCAACTTTAGTGGTTGATCACCCAGAAGGAGCACGAAGTCTTTTGCCTGGAGCTTGCCTTCTCACTTCTTGAACCTTAGACATTGCTCTTGGGGAAAGTCTGATTGTGGTAAACTGGCTCAGATTTTACTTTGAAAACATCCTATTTTGTCTTGTGTTTGAAAATATTTTCTGAAAGCATAGAATTTTTAAGTGGGCAGCTACTGTCTAACAGTCACCTGGCTTGCATTGTTGATTTTGAGAAGTTAGCTGTACATCTATTTCTCTTTTTGTGATAATTCCTCCTTACTTCCAAGATTTCTTTGTCTTTTGTGGTCAGTAATTTCTCCATATGTTTTTGTTTATTTTTTTCTGGGATTTGTTGGCTCAGTGATTCTGTGTGTTGGTATATTTCAATATTTGTTATTTTTATTCAGTTTTTCTTTATGCAAATCTTTGTCACATTTTCTTTCTTACTGGATTCCTGATCAAATATATGCAGGATGCTATAACCATCTTTTTACATTCTCAGCATCTCACTCTCATGGTCTTCTATATCTTTTCCTATCTATAAAAAAATTTTCATGAATGCATTTCATTTTAATTCACAAATTCTTTTTAGCAAATTTGTCTCTTAATTTGTGTATTTCATTTATTAAAGTTTATTGTTTTAGAATTTCCTTTTGGTTCTTTTAAAAGTACATTTTATAGGTACTCTTTTGCTTTTAATTCTTAGACTCTCATTTCTTTAAACACTGTTGGCCGGGAGTTGTAAAATATTCAGCATAAAATATGCTATGGGTTAATTCTGTTATCTTTTTGGCTTGCTCTTGCTCAAAACATTATAGTTTTTATAACTTTAGCTGTAAGCTTTCTCCTTTGCAGTGCTCAAAGTCACCCGTAGCTCACCATTATTTTGAGATTTTTTTTTTCAGGGCCTTAGTGGTGCTGTCATCCCATAGTATCCATAATGGGGTAGGTTTATGGATTTGTTTCTAGTCTGCTGATTACTGGATGTGTGTAAAAAATAGGATTTAGAATGTTTACATTCTTCAGAATTTCTATAGAACTCTAGTTTGATATTTCTGGTTTTTCTCTGTGTGCTTATCACTTACAATTTCTTTTATATTTTAGTCAGCTCATTCATGTTTTTAAGAAATTATTTGTCAAAAGTATCCTTGTCAAATGTTATTTTGTTAAGAATAAGAAATAGAAATTCACTAGGAGTTTTAGGGTAGTAAATAATTTTTCATTGGCTAAAACCCAGAACTGTCCCTGGCCCTGTCCACAGTTCTATCCTTGCAGAAGTCCAGAGATACCAAGAGCATTTAAACTAAAATGTCTTTGGTTCTGCTGTGCCCAGAGGCCATGTATGCCAGGGGCAAGACTTGCTTTCTTGTTATATTTCTTTCCCTAAATAAGTACCTTGCCTGGAATCTGTACTTACAGACATGTTGTAACTGAGAAGAGGTAGTTGGACATTTGGCCCTCGTGGTTGGGTCAAATGGATTAAACAATTCATCTCCTTCCTATTGCCCCATCCTAGTTTTTGTGATAAATCAGTCCCAGACTTGCTGCTTAATGGTATCTCATTGTCAGGGCTTCTGAAGCTGTCCAGGGGCTCTACTTTCTCTATGTAGGACCCTATATATGTGTAACAAGCTCTTTTCTAAATGCAGCCTCCCATTGTCCATGGATTTTGCTTTCTGAACTCATAGGAAAAGAACTCGGAGCCACTGACTCTGTAGAACCTTTAGTACGACCATGAGCATATGGCATTCTAACTCTGCATTGAAAGATCACCTAAGACGAGAAAAAGCCCACTCTGAACTCAGACACTGTGTTTTCCCCTATGGATATAGCATTTAAAATCTTCAGGATAAAAGTGAGTCAGAGTAGCAGTCTGCTGTCTTGCCCAAAAGGAAAGCTATTCTGTCTTTCAATCTTTCAGTCGTTATGACGATTAGCAAGAGGGATGCTTTATGTCTCCTTCTGACAGTTTAGTTACATTACAGTCTATTAAACCTTTTGAGACTATGCCACAGTTCTTAGATGTTCCGTTCTGTTATTTGTTTGTCTTTGCTATTTTACTTTTTCAGTTCAAATCATTCTTATTGATCTATATTTAAGTTCATTGATACTTTCCCTGGCCTTGTTCAGTCTGTCTGCTGTTGAGCGATGACTGTGTCTAGGAAAAACAAAACAAAATAAAACAACATCAAAAACCCACAAAAGCCAAAATCCTCTGACATTGTATTTTTTTATTTTTAATACTTTCTTTTCTATTCTATCCTTTTGATGCAATTCATTTCTGTTCTATGCATGTTCTATATTTTCTTTAATTCTCAACATATTAACATATCTATGATTATATGTTAAATTCTCCTGTTTATTGTTGATAGTAAGTTTTTGTGTGTTTGGTAAGCTCTTTTTGTTGCTGTTTTCTTTCTTTCTTTCTTTCTTTCTTTCTTTCTTTCTTTCTTTCTTTCTTTCATTTTCTTTCTTTCTTTCTTTCCTTTTGCTTTTGAGGCAGGTGTTTTGATGAGGTCCAGGCTGGTCTTGAACTCTTGATACTCCTACCTTAGCTTCTCATATGTTGGAATTTTCAGTGTGCACCATTGTACCCTGCTGTGTTTTGTAATTCTTTAGTAACTACTTCAATACTAGCATTGTATAACGAAGAACAGCAGCATTGTCTACAGAGCAGCTGAGAGTCAGTTTTTTCTCTTGGGAATTTTGTGAATGTTCTTTGGTCTATCTGGAGCTCAACCTCAGTAAAGTGACTTTGAAACATGTCTTCTGAGGAACTGAAGGATACAAAATGTACATATTAAACGGCAATATCATTTCCTCAGTGACAGCTTCCTGTGCCCATCTTTAGAAGGTCCTAGAGTATATAGAGTTGATTGTTTTCTAAGTGCAGACATATTTCTTTTTTATATCATTTTGAAATTTCTATATTTCATTAAATGTGTAAATGAAATGCACAAACTAGACAGTCAAATCTCTTCATGTAGTCAACTAAAATATTAAGATTCTGTAATTCTCTTACTCTTTACCATAATCTAAACCACAAAATTGGTCTCATTATATTTAATTTAATGTTTATAAATGAATATGCAAAATCAGAGGCTTTAAACAGATTTGTTTATTTTCAAAGTGGTATAAACAAATGCCTTAATTGTGATTACCCACAGAGTGCTGATTCTATGGAGTAGTGAGTATCATGCCTTATTCTAGAAACAGGTAAGAAAGAGTCAAGAAAAGATGATTAACAGAAACTATAGAGAAAGCTGTGCCCTGTAGATTAAGTGCATAACACTGTTTTGTGAAGATAGGTATCTTGAAGACACAAAGCCAGGATTCCCCGCTAATGAGGACAAGGGCCTTTCTTCTTGTTCTCCTCAGGACCTGGGCAGCATTTCCTCCATGTCTGCAACAACGTAAGCTACAACAGCCCAGACAGCAGCAGCAACATTCATCTGCTTTGGATCCATGACAGTCATGGTGTCTCCGTGGGAATGATGGAAGGAGAAATATTTGTACAAGTCTTCTTGCAGACTGGCTCCTGTGGGGAAGAGGGAGAATTCTGAGTGTGGTATTTAGACAAGCATTGCTGAATGGCCGTTCAGAAGCCGTGCCTGCCCTCACATCCTTTTACTCCACTCCCACGACTAACTGAAGTGGCAAAGTAATTGCTCCCTAAGGCTATCTTGAAGGAAGAAATAGCTACATCACATTACTCTGACCACTAAGATTTATGTGTCAGATTGTGGGAGAGTTCTAGGAATCCCTTAACTTTTCTGACAAATGACTTGGGAACAGGGAACTAACACTACATTAAGAGTAGATGAGAAATTAGAGCTGCAAGGAACAAAAATCCCTGGTTTCAGCCTCAAATCAAAGTCTGGAGAAAACTCCTATCTAATTCATTCTTTGACTCCTACTTGAATAGTCTTGTGGCGGTCTAGTTGCAGCTCCGATGCATCTGGAAGTCAGACTGATTGTTTTGTGGTACAATGTATGAGACACAGAGAAGACTGTGGAGAGCCTATGTACGCAAGACTAAGGTGAGGTTATGAAGAGGACATGTCTGTCATTCAGCCCAAGAAAGCACTTTCCAGTACTCGAGGAGGCCATGTTTTCACTCTTCTTCTCATTGTAGCTCTCTGTTCTACCCACTGAGGAGTCACAGTCCTATTTTGCTCATGTACTGATCACATCCTGTTTCTTTTCTGTAGCTTTATCATAGACACAAACTCTCTCTTTCTCTCTCTCTCTCTCTCTCTCTCTCTCTCTCTCTCTCTCTCACTCAACATGGTCAAAACTCTATATTCTGAATATATTGTGCATCTTGTCTTTTCACTCAAATGCATGTAAGATTTAACTAATAATACGCATTGCTGTAATATACTCCTTTTAAAGTTGTTGTATACTATCGAATTGTATTAATTCATACCTTTTCCTTCCCAGGTTCCTGTAAGCACATGCTACTATCACCATTCTAAAGGGTTGAAATGTTGGACTGAAATGAATGCATTTTAGAGCATGTGTGGTTAGTTTTATTATTAAATTCCAAAATGTTTTCCTTTTAATTTCCATGGCCATGGTCAGTAAATGAGCATTGCTTTTGATTCATATGTTCTTCGACATCTGGTATTGTCAAAACATTTTTGGTATTCTGGTGAGTGTCACTTCTTTTTTAATTCCTCAAGTTGCTAATGAGATTGAATATATGTTCTTGTATGAATTTTTGGTCATTTTTGTTTCTTGTTGATGTGTGGCAGAAGGTATGATTTTGGTACTAATCTTGGTATTGTTCACATATATAATTTCCCAGTTTATAGGTCAACTTTCTTTCTGAATGTATGTTATTATGTAATTGAATTTGTGAAACTTCTCATTTATGATTGGTGTTATGCATATTTCATTCAAAAATGCTTCACCTCCCTTAAAACTGTAAAAACATCCTCTTATGTTCTATTCTGAAATTTACTATTAGTTTCTAATATAGCTATTTTATAATGTGGGCTATATGGTAAAAATGCTTTGAATTTTTTTTGTGATTTGTTTCATGGCCAACTATCCTGTCTACTTTCACAAATGCTGCATGCGCCCTGCTCGTAAAGGATGCACGTCCAGCCTGCTGGGCACGTCCCCAGGTCTGGTGCATTATTGTGCTCTTCAAACTTTTAACTCTTTATTGACTTATTATGCATCTGATCCAAAAGTTGGGGAGTTATAGACAAAAATGTCCATTTATGATTTTTAATGTGTTTCCTATTTCATAGCTGTTCCATTGTTTTGGAAATATCTTTTTTATATATTTCAAAGTTAAGCTTTGAGGAATACATGGACTCAGAATTCTATCTTTCTGGTAGATTGAACTTTTATTGATCTGTGGTTGTCCTCTTCATGTGTAGCAACATGCAAGTCTTTATATTTTCTTTATAATAATTCAATATCTTTCATGCTTATTGAGTTAAGATTTGCATTTCTCCCATACTTAATACAGCCTCTCCTATATTTAAGGTGACCCAGCTTCTTCTTTATGTAGAACACTACACTGCCTGCCTTTCCCCATCATTTTACGTCCCCTGTCCTTACATTCTTAGTGTTTTCTCTAATGAAAGTTTTTTAAAATATAGCCTGGCAATATTTGAGTTTTAGCAGGAGATCATAATCCATTTAATTCCATTTGCTTATATCACCTGAATTTTGGCTATCTGTTCCTTGTGCTTCCTAGGTTTCTTTCTCTCTCTCTCTCTCTCTCTCTCTCTCTCTCTCTCTCTCTTTCTCTTGTCCCTTTCAGGGTTAATTTTCTTCCCTCCTCTTGTTCTTTCCTCTACTGCCCCACCCGCTCTCTAGTCTAAAAACTAATTGTTTTATTTCTATTCAGTCACATATTTATTTAATGACAATAAAGTTACTGCCTTATGTTACGCAAGCTCCTGAAGGTTAAACGTCTCACACTGGTCCTGAGAACCCATGCCCTAAAGGATGGGCAGGTAAAGGCTGGGTACCATCTTACCATTGCTGAGTCTCACTCTGTGTTTCTTACTCATATAAATTTCCTTACACGACCTTCACATGATTGTTTTAACCAATCACTATGTGGAGGGAATAAATGATTATGAACTTAGGATAACCACATTGACAGCACCCTTCTGCTTCCTGCCCATAAGTTGGTTGTTATGACTATACCCGAGGCCTCCATTGCCTAGGACTGATTTTCTTCATGAGGGTCTAAGTTTTAAAAACTTCAATGAAAGATATATTCTACCTATTTTCCTAACCCCCTTGCTCTGAAATGAAGCTTAGGTTTCCCATACCAAATTTAGCCAGGGTTCTAGTAAATGCAATGCAGGCTTGGGAGGAAAGAGAAACAAAGAAAGAACTCATCCACACCCCAACAATGAATGGCTGCTATGCCTACTGACAAATATCAATGTGTGCTAACTGACAGTAGCTACCAAACTCTTCACCAAGCAAGTGATGTTCTTTTTCGTGCCGTGACTTTCTCTCTGGACCAGTAAAGCACGCTCTCTGTTCTCCTAGGAGCTCAGAAAGCAAGGAATCTTACCATCCTCCAGCCTGATAACATAAAACTTGTAGTGAACAGGCTGGAGTTGAGACTGATCAATGTTCTGAAGGTTCGGTCCAAATTAACTGGAGAAATGTTTGTTGCATCCCCATACCGTTCTAGACAGTAGGGTAAAACTAAAGTGTAACATGAGGGGTCGGCTTGTTGGGGTTTCTGTCCGGCCCAGTACCCCAACAAGCCAGCAAATCCCAAGGAAAAATCACACACATAAGGTTATAAACTGATTGGCCCATTAGGTCAGTCTACTTATTAGTTCTTATGACTTATCTTAACCCATTATTCTGATCTATGTTAGCCACACGGGCTCAGTACCTTTCTCAATGTGACAGCTTACATGTTGCCTCTTCAGTGGTCTGCGCAGGAGTGACAGAGGAACCTCCCTGCTTCCCAGAATTCTCCTGTTCTCATTGCATCACCTCTACTTCCTGTCTGGTTTTCCCGCCTATACTGCCTGCCTGGCCAATCAGCGTTTTATTAAAATATGATTGACATAATACAGACAATTGTCCCGCATCACTAAAGACTGATATAAATGTAAGAGGAATTAATTTCTAACATACCCAAAGTTATTCTACAGTAGGGGAGGATGTGCTTGTGAGTTATACCAGCAGCTAGAATGTCACTGGATGACGGGGTCCTTGTGCTGGGTGCTTTCCTCACTATCATCCTCATCACCCCTACACTTTCTTATAACTGTATTTGCACCTTCTCCATGAGCTATTTTAAGCTTTCCAGAGTCAGATCCTCTATTTTGATACCCACTCTGTCATCAGTGCCTACAACATAGCACCAAATACAAGATGGAAATAAATTTACTCACTGAATGAATGGTAGCTAATATTATGAGCAAGTTCGGTCTGGAGGATAATGTATGAGCTCTTGTAGGAAAATAAGGAACTTACAACAAGGCAACTTGGAGAATTTACAGGAGGGGTTACTTATAAAGAATGATTAGGCTTAAATAAACAACAGATGAACAAGCCAAGGCTAGCCACAATAGAGAGTCATTGCTAACCTGAGGCCTAAAAGAGGAGGGAGGGAGGGAATAGGAAGGAATTAAGAGTGAGTCCTAGGGAACACAGAGGAGCTGTGGTTGTTGGGAAGCCTGGGTCTCAGTCTCTAGCTCATGCCTCCCAAAACTCCTCTGGGTTCTCCTGGGCCAAACCCAACAATACATCAGAGGGAAAGGGATTTATTAGCACAGCCCACGACAGTTCACGCAGGACTCACTGCAGGTTAGGGAAAGGTAAGCGGGATGTGGAGTGACGCAGGAGGAGACCTAGCACAAGTACTTATGATACCAATAGATAGCAGTGGACACAGGGATTCCAGGAGCACAGAATGCAGTTTGATTTGTGTAACGTGAGATAAATTGTGTTAGTAATGGATAAAATGGGCAATGGATAAATTGGGTTAGGTCCTGAAAATGGGCTGGTGTGGTCCATAAGTGTAGAGACTTATGCAGCTAATTACCAGGACAGTTGGGCAACTGCAGCTTCATCTCAGGTAGACACCCCCAAAACAAGTAGGTGACTCCAGAGATTACAAAGGGGAGGAGCGTGCTGGAGTGTAGTGGGGGGCATGACTAAATGGTAATTCTTGGCAAGACAAACTATGATGTCCCTTTCTGGCTTCCAAAAGTCTTTGTGTCTCTCACTGAAGGAATCTGACTGCCAGATGGGTGATGTTTGGCTGCCTCACTTTAGAGACTGTGACTTAAGGAAGGCATTTCCTCCTACATCATCTAAGTTCCCAGGGACATTATGCAAAATAAAAACAACTCAGAAACTTGCCTATCACCACCAGGCATGCTGTTATCCACAGGAGCTGTGAGCAGGCCCATTGGCAGCCCTGGAGCTTTGTCTACGCAATTCCAAGGAGACACTTTATCAGTGACAGCCACCGATCTAACGGACCAGCACCGAGGGAACTCCTGCATTTCAATTTCAGAGAAAGGTGGGCGA